GCTTCTTAGCTCATTATTCTGTAAATACGATTCAACTGTAAATAATGCTCTCTCCATATTTACTATATCATATACTACGCTGTATACAACTCTTTATCGACTCTTCTCATATTCGCAGGAGATATTGTCATGGATTCCTCGTCAGATTGGTAAGGCGACTAAGATCAAACTATTGCTGGAGATATTGTTATGGATTCTGCAGATTGGTAGAGCGACGAAGATCATGAGTGTATCACAGGAGTATCATTGTCCGTGTGGGAGCTTCTCTTGTGGAGATATCACGTGTGAAATTAGCCCAACACACTTCAAGAGTCCAACTTGATTCAAATATTAGCCTATTGTATATTTGGATAAGATCAATTCTTAGTGTTGATAGATTTTTATACATATTTTTTTAAAATTAGATTGTTACTTGACAGATGTTATTTAGAAAACAAATGCTTAATGAAACATTATAGACTTTGTTGTGAAATTTTATATTTAAGCAGTAACCTTACGTTTCAGAAATTTGACAAAATTTCGGGTTTGGATCATGACACTAGAACAAATAAATGAAATTCAAACGACGAATTTTTCTTTTCCTCGATGGAATAATTAGGGGATAAAAAGGAAAGGTGCGAGGAAACATAAACGTAATATGAAACTACGTACTTAGCACATAAACGATTCCTTCTCCATTTAGGTCTCTACTCTTTACTTTCCTAGCTTAATTAGCTCATTCTTCGACGATTCAGCTATAAATAACGCTCTCTCCATCTTTATTACATAAAATACTACACCATATATACCTCTTAAATTGACTCTTCTCATATTAATCTATTTGTATTGTTATGGATTACGCAGATTTGTCAGATTGGTCGAACTACGAATATCAGAGTATAGCAGGAGATACAGATCACTGGTATGGCGACGAAGATCGGAGTATCGTCGAAGATATTGTTATGGACTCTGAAGATGGTGGAGCGATGAATACCATGAGAGTACTGGAGAAGATGATTTAGAAGTAGAGTACCATTGTCGGTATGGGAGCCTCATCATCACTCTTTTAGTCTGCTGTCCTTTAGGAATTTTTGCATTTTGTTTACATGGTTGTGTTTTCTTGGTTATATGATGTGTTAAGTTGATCATGAGATAGACAATTACTTGGAAAGGGGAGCTAAAGAAGAATGGAGACGGTAAAAGTTTTATTAAACAAAGACCAATTACGGAATAACTGTGTGATTTTGTCTTGAATGATTCGATGAGTAACGTGATGCTATAGTGTTGAGACACTGTAAGCATATTTTTTCGCTTGTGCATTTTGGGACGGACCATACGCAACAAATCACGTTCTTGTTGCCGTTGTGAGGTGGACGGAATCGATGTGTTCAACATCAGCGAATATTAAATCTTGGAAGTTTAAAGATATATAGAAATATTGCAGATTTCATTAAACGAAGATTGTTTTTATAAATATCCTCCAAGTATGTACCCTATTTACTCGATTTTTATAGTACCATTCTATAGTTGATGATCTTCGAAAGTTACTGACTAGTTTAACCAGTGTTACTATTAGTCATTAGCTAAATTCCCAGAGAGTTGAACTTCAAACACGTGAGCCTTGGGCTTGCCAAATTTGGTTTGTGCTGTAATGCTCGTTCTATTTTTTCCTCATCTCTTTCCATCTGTATCTCCCCCCTAATGAGGTCTGATTTGTCCTATGCTCTTTGACCCTTTCGCTTCAATGATGCTTCCTATTTCAAAAAAAAAAAATAATAATAATAATAATAATAATAATAATACATATTAGCATGTACATATATCTTGGAATATTTGGTTTGCACTTGAAAAATTTATATTTGGATTGGATTTAAGTGAGGTGGCAGAGGAAATGACGTGGCATGCAGAGGTTGGTCCAAGGGTGGAGATTACTATGACTGGATGCAGAGAGTAGAATTGGTTTGAGCGGTTATTGTTGGTTATCAATTGACTAGATTATTACTTTTTATTCTTGTGTAAGCTATTGAAAGGGGAATTTCATAGTCAATTGTACAATGGTGAAAAACTGCTTCTTGTGTTCTTTGTAAATACTCTTAAGGGGTCCAATTGCTTGAGATGGTTTTAAGGTATGTTTTCAATAAGAAAAATGATATATATTCCAATCGGGATAAAACTCCGTTACGATGAGTTCCATTAGATTAGGTCACACTTACCCACTTAACGGGATCCATTTTATAAGAGTAGTAGAGTTTTAACTCTATCGGGATTAATAGGGTGCTCTTTAATAAACATTTTCTCTAGAAGGTTGTTTCAATAATTCTGTTGCTTCTTGTGTTTGTGCTGGTGCAATTACTATTGTACTTAATCTTATCCTTCCTAGAAGCCATAATTTTTTGTGAGGGGGGCTAATACCTACAACAGACATTTAAGAAAAAATTAGTAATTATAAATTCTTCTATTGTCCTCCAAGTGTTTTTATCATGTTTTGAAATGCTGCATAATAACTTTATTATTGAGGCTATTAAAGATGTTCTCGATGTCCAAACACTAAAATGTGATTTATTCATTAATCTCATTTAAGATTATATAATTGATTCTTCATAATAGTCATCCTAAAATGATATTATACCACGGTACTAACTGATATTGTATTAGGATATATATTTTTCGTGTCTAAAAATCTAATCATGTATAATTTTAACATTCTTTTCAAGGACTTATTGCATACACATTCTGCTTAAAAGGGATATTTTTAGACTAGTGAAAAAAATTCAAGAAATAAGAAAATAAGACAAAATATATAAATATAGTTACTTCAATAAAGAATCCAAGCTATTATTAGGGGAGAAGATCTTGTAAAGTACTTATAGATATTAGTTGGAGTTTGGTTTAAAGTGATAGTTTTTCGTTTGTTTTAGAAATAAAATAAAATATTTAAGTTTTAGGGGGGCTATTTCTAAATTTAGTAGAAATATATATACAAAAAATATAAAGAATGAAAAGTTGAGGGGGGACTTAGGCCTTCTTTCCCTCCGTCCCTGCTTCCTGGTTGTTCAAAATTGCTCGGAAATTCACAAAAATATGTTTTTTTTTTTTTTTTATAAAGCATCAAATGATATATATATATATCATTTGATGCTTTATAAAAAAAAAAAAAAATATTTTTTTTTTTTTTTATAAAGCATCAAATGATATATATATATATCATTTGATGCTTTATAAAAAAAAAAAAAAATATTTTTTTTTTTTTTTTATAAAGCATCAAATGATATATATATATATATTTATTTATTTATGACAACTGTAGAGGCAACTGTAGACAACTGTAGAGGCAATCTTCTCTCCGAAAAGAGCAGGTACTGAAAACCTATCAATGGATGACGAAAAACAAAATGAAAAGTATTGGTCGGGAACATAAATGTAAGAGAAAATTGATGAACTTATTTTTAGAGTGCCTGAATTTAGATTTTTATTTTTATTTTTAATTAATATTTTTTTAATTAATATAATTATTTAATTAAAAAGAATATTAATAAAGTGTAAGAGGTAAAAATTTAGATCCATACACTCTAAGGGGTCTTCTTTTTTCTAAATGTAATAGGACGAATCCTTCCCTATTTAGGTCTCTATTTCCTAGCGTAGATGATAGAGGTTGATCTATATAACTCATAACTATACATATTAACATCACATTATTAATATGAACTCCTTAATTAATTCATGATGCGTTTTCTTCATTTACAATGTTAGGTAGTGAACAACAAACAAACACTACACATACTCTTAGTCAACAAAAAATACATAGTACTCATCAAAAACTCAAAATATCAACAACAAGGTAAATGGAAAATAACATATACTATTTACTCCATCTTTGATGTTCCTACTGAGTCTACTTCTACTAAATCTACTTTTATTGAACCTGGGAACTCTTCCCATCAACCTCCACAATATGAAAATAAGCAAAAGTATCATACTACCTTCTATAAGATGACATTTTAATTAGTGTAAATGTACTAATATTTTGAGATCTGAATGGTTGTATATGTTTTAATACTTTAAGTAGTGCATATGCACTAATATTTTGAGACCTTAATAGTTGCATATGTATTAATATTTTTCACTATTCTTGCTTTGTTTTGTTTCCACCTGCTTTTTAATCTTTATTTTGTTCATTGAGTTCTTCTCTGGATCATACTCTCTAGAACCCACCTTCCTTAATGGCCTGATTTTTGTTAAGCTTAATTGGTAAGGGTTTTTTCCTTTTTCTTTTGTAGCATTTAATCGCGACCTCTAGAGCACTTAATCTTACCTACTCAAGAATTTTTTAGAGGGAAAGAAGACTCTGAAAAGCTAGTGTCTCTCAATTAAAAAGTGGAGGTTCCTTTTATAGGGTTTAAATGAGACAATAGCTTTATCTCTTTTCCATATGAGATAGAGAGATTTTTCATTCATTTTTTTACTTTATGGGAGCTTTTCTTTGTTTTTTCCAACTTTATGGGAACACTTTGAGAGTCAATTTCTCATTTATTTATTTACCATTTCGAGCATATATTTATATCATTTCGTTCTCCTCACAGAGGAGAACGCCAATCTAAATTGAACCGACACTAACACAAAGTGGATCACACTCAAAATCGTGCCTCAAAATGGTATATTAAAAAAGGGTTTCCAAACTATTTTTTCAACCGTCACTGATAAGGCAGGCGACCAGTCGCACCGCGAACATCCACAAACTAGTCAAAAGAGTCATGGAGACCCCTTTAACACAATGTATTATGGACTCAATTCTTCCAGAATTGGTTGCTTGATGCTCCCTCAGTTTGATGGAGAATTTTACCCTTACAAGCACTTGTTGCGGTACAAGGTCATTATGCAGGCCACTAACATCCTTGAGCGATATCCTTGACGAAGTGATGTGCAAACATTTTGTCAAGAGTTTGAAGGGACCAGCATTTAGATGGTTCTTCAATTTACCTTCTGCTTCGATCGATAGCTTTCACGATATCACTAAAGCGTTCATGAAGAACTACATATACCTAACTTGGTTTTTGTTTTTTGTTTTTCTGTTTTGTTTTATTTTTCCTCTTCTTCAGATTCGTCAATGCGTTTTAGGATGGCTTTCTTAAATTTTGTTCTTCAGGTAGTGTTGATTGGTATTGGCATTACTTGAGTTTCATGAGAATCATATTAGTTAGTGACTTCTATTGTACAATCCCTATATGGTTTTTTCATTGTTTATGAAAGTTTATTGAACTTTGAACACTTTTGTCATCTGGTTTTCTTGTGGGGCTCTAATGGATTTTTGTATTTTAAAACTTGAAGTTGATAAGCGGCATGTTTCGGACTTAGCTAAACGTTACCGGTCTCTGTGCAAATGTTCGGATGATTTTCTTCCTTTATGGAAAGGAATGACGTAGTTGAATTTTTCTGCTTGAAGGAATGTAGTGTATTAGCAATGTGTAAGTATTGAAATCTGAATTTCTTGACGGAACTATACAACCACAGAGCACGCATTAAACTTCATTAATTTTTTTTCCCTTTTGTCTAGATTGTTGACATGATCAAATCTACCGCAGCATACGACAAAATCAACGATCCGTCGTTACGATATCCCAATGTTTTCAGATGCAAGATCTGCGCTGCAACGTACGACAAATTCCGTTAGTATTTCCTTAATTTCTGCTATTCTTTCCTGAGAAGGCACAAGCGCAATCTATGTGAGATTTTATATCAGTACATTCTAATGTGGCCTCAGAATTTCACATAGCAGTATAAAGGTGATGCAAGAATTTCTCCTGGAATCAAGATTCAGTTTCTACAATTGAGCACAATTTCCATAGTTGCTAAAGCAAATGATGATATTCTATAGAAAGATATTGAAAGCATAAATGGTGAGAAAGAATCATTCTAGAAATCCTGAGGAATAAGTGTAAAAACTAAAACTCTTTATGCAACATCAATATACATAGTGTCCATATGTCAAAGAACTTCTAAAAATCAGAGTATAGGAATCTTAGATTTCCCATTTACACAAATCCAAGCAGCATTGAAGAGACACATGGATCAACTTTACATGCATTTCCAAGCTCTAATCACTTATCTTCCTCATCTCTCCAGCAAATCAGCATCATCACGCATCGATGAATTATGTAAAGCCTCGCCCGCTTCTCCTTCAAGGCTCTACCCGCCGGAAACTGAACCTTGCAACGTCTCCGCAGCACTGGAAAAGGGAAACGTCCCATGCCCATGAATTCCTTTCCTAATTTTTATACTACTTCCAGGGAAGAAGATAATTGCTAGAAGGACAAAAGGTGGCAGATAAGTTGGCTCCTTTTGTTTCCTCTCTTTGTGTTTAAAATTACACCTCAATTTATGAGTAATAAAGGGTCTGATTTCTTTCCCATTTAAGAGTTTAGTCTGACTGACTTAGGAGGTTACAAAAAGGTTTGTTACAAATTTTTTGTCTTTGAGTGGGTAAGTTGGTGCACGCTGGTTTTGAATTAGATGCATGGAGTTTGTGGCCTCTTCTAGGGAGCTCCGCACATGACCAAGAGACCAAACCACTTTTATTTTTCATTCAAAGTGCTACGTTTTATACCACATTGCACTGGCATTTTTGTGGAGGAGTTTCTGGTTTGTTGTCTCCTGAACTTCAACGGATTGAGAGCCAAATGTTGTTAAGAATATTATTATTATTATTTTTTTTTTTTTTGAACACTTGGACTAACGTAATGTATCTTTGATTCTTTTCATAGGAAACCAAGTGACACTTTGAGAGTTTTCAAGGATATCGTATAAAAAAGTGGGATTTCATCATTTAAATTCTTCCTTATCTAGATGGAATGTTTGTTGAGAAGGAAAAGACTAGTTAATCACGCAAGCGTTTTTACCAATTTGCTTTCTGTTTCAGTCTATTTGTGACCAGTGTAATTTGAAAAATGAGAGATAAAAAGGTGCTCCTTTTGACCTGCTTTAAGGTTTTAGCTTCTTGCATTACTAACGGTGTATGCTTCTGAGAGCTTTCGGAACATATTGCTTTCTAGTAATTTTTTTTACTAATTTACTATATAGAAGCAGTCACGGCAAAATAAAAAATATATATATCTATAGAAGGAGAGGCAACAAAGTAAGAAACTAAAAGGAATTGGAAAATTGATCGTCTGAGAAGATAATTTTAAATATGAGTAAAATAAGAGAAAATATATTATGGGTCCGTTTGGATCATAGGTTTGAAATGTGGTGATTGAAACTGTAAAATTTGAAATGTATGGTTTAAACCTGGGTGAAATAGGGGAAGGTTTAATTTTTATGGGTTGGCTATTTTAAACCATGACATCATGGTTCAAACAGAAATTAAAACTCGTTCATTCAAACATTGATTTAGAATGACTTGCAGTTCAAACTACATGAACATATAAGCCAAACAACCCTGTATATATATTTTAATAAGTAAACAACAAACAACTAGAATATATCAGCAAGTTAGAAATTAGGGAAAAACAAGATCAAGAGAAAATTAGAGAATTTGTCCCCCTTAAGTCACTTATTTAGTTGTGTTATTAGATTAATATTCCCCCACATGTTCGTTTTTAATATAAATTCTGCCATTGTTATATTCAATTGATATATAATGAGAAAAAAAAATAGGCCAAAATGTTATAGTGTGGAAGAAATGACATAAATCTTTCTGACATGATGTGGTATTCCTCTAGATTTCTCAAAAAATCAATGAAGAAGAAAAAAACATACTATTTGCTTTTTAGAAAACCCCCGTTTGAATTGTGGTGACAAGGGTACTAGAATAAAGGCTTAGTTTGGTAGTGCTGTAGATTTTAAAAAAATTACGTTTAGCTGTGCTGAAGGAAGAAGTAACTGTTATAAAAAACAACTGAGTGTTTTGTAAATTATAATTATAATAGCTGTACTAGTTTTAAAATCAGTTTAATAGCGTTTTGTAAATTATGAGGTTAAATTGCTTTGGATAGTTAAAAATTACGACTATATTATATTATATTATAATATAATATATAATTACAATATAATATAGTTATTATTATATTTAATATAATATAGTTATTATTGTATTTAATATAATACAAAAAACTATTATTATATAATATATTATATAATTATGATATAGAATATAATAATATCATTAAAATAATAAATGAAATAATTAAAAATAACGATTATATTATATCATACTATAATATAATATATATAATTACAATATAAAATATATTTATTATTATATTTAATATAATAAAAAAATATTATTATATAATATATTATATAATTATGATATAGAATATAATAATATTATTAAAATAGTAACTGAAATAATTAAAATAATGATTATATTATATTATACTATAATATAATATATACAATTAAAATATAATGTACTTACAATATCGTATTATAATTATATTATAATATCATATTATTAAAATAATTATAATATTATTATAATATCATATTATAATATAAAATAATAATATTAGAGTTATTAATATAATTATGATATTATTTGTTACAATATTACTATTATATTATATTATATTATATTACGAGTCTGAATTTTAGATTAGTAAAATTGTAAATTTTAAATTTTATTAGGAGTATTATGGGTATTATGAAAGTTTCATTAATTGTACTATATTGATTCCCATATAATCTAAAAACTAAAGTTGTCTTTAGGCTGCTTCTGATTTTGGCTGTAGATTTTTGAAAAATTCTTCAAAAAACACTTTTAAGGAGATTTACTAAACATTAAAATCATTTTTTGCTACAAGCAGAAGCTGATTTTAAGAGGAAAAAACAATATCAAACTAAGCTAAAATATGGAAAGCCATGCATGGTCGTGTGATTAAAGTTTATGCAGAAATACTTCAACTGCAACCATCTGACGCAGTTCCTGCAGCGTGCTTATGAAGTTAGCAACCATGGCATCGGACAATATTTGACACAATCATTATACGGTTGTCTCAAATTTAATTGGTCAAAATTTGGCATGTTTATGCGAGTTCAAGATTTTTCTATTAAATACTTGTTCAAAATTTTCGGAAAAGTAGACTAAATAGTTTATATGTTTTCGATTGTGATAGTACTTTGGCGATTTATATTAAATGGTAAAAAGGTGTCACTGGTGTGGGCTGCAACAGCATGGTCTTTAGTTTAGTTTAGGGAGTGGAAATAATGCCAGTATGGTTTAAATATTACTCCAAAGGCTCTCATTTAATCACTTTGATTATCCTAATCCAATATTCTACTTTTGGTGCCATAATTATTTAAGACTGTTTTGCATCAATGGGGTGAAAATTTAGAGAATTCCTTGATGATATTTATAATAAAAAAACGTGATGGGTAACCACTATAAAAACATAATCACTGAAAACTTGTGTGTGTGTATATAATCGTGTGTGTATATATATATATACACACATATATTTATTGAATGAGCATTGCTTCCTGAACTTGTCATTCATTGCCAATGTTCCCGCTAATTTTCTTTTCATGACAATTAGTCCCTTAAATTTATAAATATATTGTAAGATGCACCAATTAGTGATGGTGTTACATCTGACTAACGCATGGGTTGTTAATTAAAGACATGAGTGGTCATGTTTATTTATTCTTAATCCAAATTTTAAGAATGTTGATTCAAAATTTTCAATTTTGATAAAAACTAATTCAAAGCTCTCACCCCCTATAAATATGAGTTAAATGGCGTAAATGATCCCTGATGCTATCAATTAACGACCCATGTACACGTCACAAATCAATTTTTATTAAAAAAAAGATAAACACAGTTATGAATTAGGTGTTTTGCCACATATTTTTAAATCGACTAATTGCCTAAAAAAAAAAAGTTGAGAGGACACGTTGCCAATGAACGACAAATTCATGTGCAACAGTGCAAATAAGCCCTTAGGAAATTCGGCATCTTTTCTAGAAGCTCAAAAGTGAGCAAACATGTGTAGTAAAAGCAAGCACAAAGAAAGAGCAAAACGACTAGTATGGCATTCTAAGTAAGTGAATGGAAGCTTTAGGAAATTGAATGAATAGGGCATTTTAATGATGAATCCAAAAGAGAGATTTCTGTGGACAGTGGACAATATTTGCTGTAGGTGGGGTTTTCTACTGTGAAGGCGTGCACCAACTATGCTTGTTATGATTTATTGATCTTAGAAAATGTCTAACAAAAGCACAGCAAAAATGCCCATATTATTTTTCTCACCTTTTTCCCACTCTCAGAGCGTTGCAATTTACAACCAAAAAGGGAGAAAAGAAAAAGAAAATAAATGGGTTGTTCTGCCATAGCTAAAATCTGTTTCGCCAGTTGAAAACATACCTCTTACTAGTTCCTGAAAGTTCTGTCAAGAGTAACTAATGAATAGATCTTGGCATAACAACTTCAAAAGTAATCAGAATTTTCATTGAATAAAGGATAAAATTTCTTGAATTGTAAAGTGAAGTCTAATATGGACATGCAAAGAGAAGAAAGTAGCTATATATCCTGGTGGGGATTTGGACGGTTGTGTCTAGAAGCAAGTGTGGATATATTTTTAGTCAAATGCAATGATTTGCAAAAAGGGCCTATTGACAGAAAAGAAAAGAAAAGAAAAGAAAAGAAAAGAAAATCTCTCTTAAAAGTGTGAAATAGAGAGATAAGAAAAGGGTTAAACCCTTCCCTACAATTGGTCACATATGAATAATTACTTCCCCAACACCTTATTATCACAAATCCATGTTAGAAGAATCATGAAAGCTGACAAACATAATACACCTACCCGAGATCCCTTTTTTCTTCACCCTCCAATCGGATTTATATCCTATAAAAAGAAAGAAAACAGGAAAAGATTGTGTCCACGCTCTTAAGTACCCCCAACACCTCTCTAACCTCCACTTCAACTCTATCTATCTCGGTGCAGGAAAAAAAAAATGGAAAACTTAGTGACTTCACTTGTGATCTATTTCAGCTTGTTAGTTTTTGCTTTCAATGTGCATGTTATGGCACAATGGCCTAAAGGAACATCAACCAGGTTCTATGATTTCAAGGTCTAGATTTTCTCCATCTTAATAATCATGCTGGTCCTTTTGGTATATGTTTTTAATCTGAATTTTCTTGGCACTTCAGGTGCAAACCAAAAGAATTACTAAACTCTGCAACAGCAAGGACATCGCGGTTGTAAACGGAATGTTTCCTGGACCAGTTGTTTATGCTCGAGAAGGTGATAGAATTGTTGTCAATGTCACCAATGAGACACCATTCAATATCACAATTCACTGGTAAAGTTAACTACTGCCATTAGGATTCTAAATTAAGTACATCATTATGTTGCATTTCCTTTGCTAATGGCAAACATTTTCCTTTCTTCTGTTTTTCTAAGGCATGGTGTTAGGCAAATACTATCCTGCTGGTATGATGGACCTTCATACGTTACTCAATGTCCAATTCAGTCGGGGCAGCGTTTTACCTATGAATTTACAATGGTGAAGCAGAAGGGCACTTTTTTCTGGCATGCCCATGTTTCTTGGCTACGAGCAACTGTCCATGGTGCCCTCATTGTCTATCCCAAAACTGGGGTACCATACCCATTTAAAACCCCTCATGAAGAACATATCATTATACTAGGTAACAATGAATTTCCATGATTTCCATTCAAAAAGAAAAAATGCAATCAATGTATGATAAGTAATCATTAAATTTAGTTCCACATTGCAATGTGGAAAGATATTGGATTGATTAATACTAATCTTGGGGAACTTGATGGCAGGGGAATATTGGGTAAAGGATGTTGTACAACTTGAGCGTGCCACCATAGACAGCGGTGGAGCTCCTCCCCCCGCCGATGCATATACCATCAACGGCCAACCAGGTCCCAACTACAATTGCTCTAAACAGGGTAATTTATATAAACAGTTCAAAATTTTATCAGTGATTATGCACTTGTGATGGACCTCTCACATTAAGACTAGCAGTCTAAATTATAATAGCTTAGTAGCGGCCTTTTTCAGGAGTTTTTTCTTTGGTTCCTGGCTAAAATGTAGTGTTACATATTATTTCAGATGTAGACAAAATCGATGTGGTCCCTGGGAAGACATACTTGTTGAGGCTAATACACGCAGGCCTAAACACACAGAACTTCTTTGCCATAGCAAATCACAAACTGACCATTGTAGAAGCTGATGCAGAGTACACAAAACCATTCACCACGGACCGTGTCATGCTCGGACCAGGTCAAACCATGAACGTCCTTGTCATTGCCAATCAGCCAATAGGAAGATATTCGATGGCCATGGGACCTTACATGTCAGCAAAGGGTGTTCAATTCCAAAATATCTCATCCATTTCCTACTTCCAATACTTGAGCACTAATCTTAATAGCTTATCTTTAACCCCAACATTACCTAGTTTTAATGATAATCTCGCGGTAAAAACCGTTATGGATGGACTAAGGAGCCTAAACCCGGTTAATCTTTCAAAAGAAATCGATGCCAACCTTTTTGTCACTGTTGGATTGAATGTCCAAAAGTGTCAATCCAAGACACCTAAACAAAACTGCCAAGGACTTAATCATGGGGTTATGGCCGCATCAATGAACAACATAAGCTTTGTTAAGCCTAAAATCTCAGTGTTAGAAGCTTATTATAAGAAGATTAATGGATCTTTCACAGAGGATTTCCCTAAGGCGCCCCTTAACTTCTATGACTTTGTTAATGGGGCACCTAATAATATTCCCAATAACACTCAGTCATTGAATGGAACCAAGACCATTGTCCTAGAATATGGAAGCAACGTTCGGCTCATCTTTCAGGACACTGGGACTGTCTCTACTGAGAACCACCCAATCCATCTCCATGGCTATAGCTTCTATGTTGTTGGATATGGCAGTGGGAACTATGACCCAAAAACTGCAAATTTCAACTTAGTGGATCCGCCTTACATGAACACGATCGGAGTCCCAGTTGGAGGATGGGCAGCTGTCCAATTTGTTGCCGATAATCCTGGTATATCTATTGTTTTCTCTCATTTTTCCTAGAACGAAGTTATTCTTCAGATAAATTGAGTTCAAATTTAATGCTATGCTATGCTTCCCTAATACTAACATCTATTAGAGAAGTTGGAGTTCAATTTAGAACTTACTGGTGTTAATATAAAGAAAATAAACAATTTGAGTAAATGATGCAGGAGTTTGGTTCATGCATTGTCACCTTGATATACACCAGTCATGGGGATTAGGCACGGCAATCATTGTGAAGAATGGCAAAGGAGATCTTCAGACGCTTCCTCAACCGCCGGCTGACTTGCCAAGGTGCTAGGATATGCAGTTGAGTTCAATTACTGGCAAACAAGGAGGATTTTTTGGACCACTTTTGTGATACTATCATCGGTCCTTTCTCTGAACGAATGAGACCATGGATGTAAAAAAAAATTTTAAAAAAAAAATAGGATAAATAAAATTGTTGATTTTTTTCCTTCACTTCTTAGTTCTTTCCCATATTTGCCTAATTTTCTGAGTACTCTATATAAGCAAGTTATGTCACATGTGTTGGACCAAGGTTGAATATTCTCATGTTTTGATGATAATAAACATAATTTATTATGTTGCTAATGATTCTATTTTGAGTTGTGTATTTAGCATAATTGATATTATAAATCAACCCAATAAGCATATTGTGGAATACAATGTAAATACATTCAAGTTTGAGAAATGCAAATTGAAAAAGGAATTCAAGACTTGAAGTGTTGAAATACCAAAGATCAAGAGCAAGCAAACAAAATCAAGTAAGACAAGTTATAATAGGTTTTTATATCTCCTTAGTCTTGTATTTGATTTTGACTTCATACCATCAATGATTAATTCTTGTTTAGGCTCATGCATACACTCACATTATTTTTTTAAAAATGAGACTAAATTAAGTGCATAATGACATTTGGCCTAAAAGTGCAATTTTGTGAAGGTTTGAGGCAAAGTCAGTGTCAACCAGTCGATCTATATCTCCGGTGACAGAGAAGGCAAAATCCACCGGTCAACCGGTGTTGCCTCAACCGGTCAACCGCTCCGGTCGACCGGTTCTGCTCAACGGATATTTAATAAGACTGTTGAACAACGAGAATTTAAAATTTGTCTCAATCGGTCAACCACTCCGGTCGACTGGTTCTGGGCAACGGGCAAAAATAAGACCGTTGGACAGTGAGCTTAAATAGAAAAAAATCATTTTCTCTCCTGGGGATTTCTTTGAGACCTTAGAGAATTTATTGAGAGCTTCCAAATTTCTTAAAATCCAAATAGGTTTCTCTAAAGTGCTAACATAATTATCATTTACTCTAAATCCTTACTTCATTCTTTCACACATACTTAAGCCTACCTTGGATTCTCTTTTGATAGTGTGATTTCATCATCTCTTAGTCATTTTAATTGTGTAAAACCATTATTAGGAGTGTATAATTGAGTGCTTCACTATTAATAATCCTTACTTTCGTATTAGGCTTCTTGGTTGGTTGATCTCCGTAGAAAATCGACATTGTATAAGAGGTTAGGCGAAGCCTCGGATAGAAAGATTCGCCATCTTGTAAGAGGAGTGATCGTGCCGGAAAGTCGATCGTATAGTGGAAGAGGTCGAGAGGCGGAATATCTCGGCGACAGTGGATGTAAGCAAATTTATTTGTCAAACCACTCTAAATCTCGTTTACATTTCTCTTAACTCTGCCTCTCTAATTTTCTCACTTTAATTTGATAGTTGACATTGATTGAATTAACTCTTAGTGATAAGCTTATCGAACTTGTTATATGGTATTAGATTGATTCATCTTGTGCATACTAAGTGTTTGTACTATTGCATTAACTTATGTAATTCTCTGCACACTAGAAAAATATTACTGTGTTAAATTAATTGTCTATATTTGTTCTAATCTTTGAATAATTGTATAAATTCTAGAAAAATATTTAAAACCCAATTCACTCCCTCTGGGTAGCCCTGCTAGGGACAACAACTGGAGTCTAATAATAAAAGCCGACAGATTCATTGCAAAATGGCAATAACAGATTTTTTGTAAGACAGAAGTGAACGCCCATTAAAACTAAGTTAAATCATATTCATATACATATACAAGGTACATTATCCCCTTATTTATCCTCCTAGATAAAGGAAATGAAAAAGGTCATAGAAAAGTGTTGGAAGATTATGCTTCAGAAACCCACACCACAAAATAGAGGTCAAGGATTGATTCTCTTTGAAGTCCAGCATTTCTCCCCATTGGCATTTTGCCCGGATGTAAAGCTAAGCCTTTGATTGCTCTTCAAATTCACGTAATCAACCTGTGAACAAGTTCCCAAACCATTAAAAACATTCGAATGCAATAAGGGTGTGAAAAGAAAAGTGGACAAGAGAAATCCAATAAACCTGATCTGGATCAAGAACCAGCAAACAATATCCATCAACTGGGCCTTCAAGACTGTCGAGAAAAATTTCCTTTGATGGCTGTTCATCTAGACTTGGAAGACCTGGACTAGGCCCCAAATATTGCAGCCTCGACTTCTGAGAACTGGCGAACCAAGCTTTCTCTCTTTGCTGCACCATTCGCTCAAAGAATCAATGAAAAATAAGGCATCTCAAATGAATATATCAGCAAATTCTACTTTGCTCTCCATTAGAGTATAATATTTGGCACAGACAAAAATGCGGCAAATTCATGAACATGTAAGCATTTGCGTCGAAGTTGTTACTAACACAAAAGAAACATGCCCGCCGTGCCCGCCGCATAAGGAAAGAAGTCTAAACATTCTTCAGCTTGCCTCAGTTTAAAATTTCAAAACTATCCAAGTGGTGAACAGCAACTAATCTCTCACCACAATCCTTCTTCAGGTATAGTAGAAAAACACATTGCCCTCCTATTCTTGAACACAAACAGCATTACTTCTAAATATCGTTCCATGTTTTCGTTCAATCATTGCAAACCTCTGAACGAGCTAACTCTGGCTATCCTTTGTCAAACATTTTAAGCCCCAATTCATCAGGAAGATCATTACAAACATACCATGAAAACCCGCGTTTTGGGACTCCCACTCATTTATCAAAGATGTTAGTATAGAACCAAAACCAATCCATTATTTTTAGATTTTACAGTTTCTACTAAAATCCCAACATCTCAAAAAGTATAAGCCTTGAATCATAATGTGACACAACAATCTCATTCCAGTGGCAGTCTCACCTGAAGCTTTAAAGGATCATGAATTGTTCCATCAATTATGTCAACTGTTGCATTAATCCGGAATTGCTCCCAAGATTCAGTGAAGTACCAGCATATCTATAAAGTAAAATTCAAGTTTCAAATTCAACATATTCGAACTTAAACAAAGAAGAACTAACCAACTAATTTAACTAAAATTTATCATGTACCTCAAATTTTTATTACCTCAGCAAATGGACTACGCTTAAGCTCCTCAACCTGTAATTTTGATTTAAAAGATCAAAATTCCAACAATCAAAGTGTCAAAGAATATGGAAAATCAAATTTAGAATCTTTAATCGAAATACTTAATTATATTACGAAATTCGTCCAAAAAAAAGGGGGCAAAATTAGGTATTAAAAGTAAAATCATGGGAGGGAAAATCAATTAAAACGAAGAACCTTGCGACTTCGGAAATCTGTGTTGATTTGTATCTTATCAGTGTCCTCTTGAAATCCCCTGAAAACGACGGTGCGATTCGCAGGTCTCCCATTACAACCCACTGTCGCCTGAATTCATCGTCATCATAGTTGCCGGGGCAAAAAAAAAAAGCAAATAAATCATCAGGAAAAAAGAATTTTTAGAGAGAGAAAGAGGAGAGACATTAACGTACAAGCTGAAAGAAAGACGAATGCTTGAGGTGGGCATTGGCTTCCACTGCGTCGAGAAGAAGCTGCTTCCATGGCGCTTTCACTGTTTCCATTTTGCTCTCTTCTTTTCGGTCTGAAAAAAGTAAACGGAAGCCCAACTGATTTATCAGAGCCAGGTTTCGATCCTGGGACCTGTGGGTTATGGGCCCACCACGCTTCCGCTGCGCCACTCTGATAATTTACTCTTTTCTTTCTTCTCTTTTACTTTACTAGAATAACTTCTTGTTCGTTAGACGACGACGTCTTAGAAATGTGGACTCTAACCACGAGTTTTTTAGGGTCCGTTTGTAAGAGAGAGGAGATCCACATAGAAAGACAGAGAGAGGAGACGAGGAGGGAAAAATATAAAGAAAAGGGTAAATTTTTTAAAACAAAATATTTAAAACTGAAAATATAGTTTTTTTTTTTTTTTCCTTCCTAAAGTCCCTTCAAATGACACTCATGAGTTCTATTCAATTTTTTTCTTTGCTTGATTTAGAAGATAAAAAGTAGGGTGCTGTTTGTCTCTGGAAAGAACACACTAAAGGCACAATTTGCAAAAAAATGAGAGAGAATTCAAATTGATGCACAACTAACTGATCACAAGTATTCAAAATAACTGATATGAATTAACAAGTTACTAAAACATTAAGCTAATTAATTTGACACTCAATAAATTTCAATTTAATAAGATAACAAAATACGAAATGGAAATAATAAAGTAGAGATAGAGATCGAGACAATAAAACACTATTTTATAGTGGTTTAGAACTATGCCTACGTTTATTGTTGCCAGATGAACTACTACTTAACTTCTTCTACTATATCAATCTTTCTTTTGATAGGATTTCTTCCATACAATTCAAAAACTTCACTATTTAAGGCTCACCACACTATCTACAACCATCAATTTTAACTTATAACGTTGGTTATCCTTTACCCACCAAATTAACAAAGGAATTGACAACCTATCACACTTGAAATAGTTTAAAGTTCACTCAAAAATCTCTCCTACTAATGGTTTGATACAAGTTTGGAAGCTAGGAGAGGTTTGAAACACTTAATAAAAACTAGTTAAAGAGTGTACGTGACCAATGCTTTCTTAAGATGACATGAAGGTTATTTTAGCTTTTGAAGAGAATGAGAGAGTATGAAACAAGTTACGAGCATTTACAATTGATGCTTGGAAATTAGACCTCAAAGCCCTCGTACGTAAAATAAGCAAAAAGTTGGACTATAGCTCACTATCTAAGGCTGGAAATATTGTTGTTTGAACAGTATCGGTCAACCAGTGGGTGACCAACACCACTATCAATTCCAGAGTTCAGTAGCCCACTCGTGGACTTAAGTAACCCATCGGATTACCAGATGATATTTGCACAACCTTTGTCCATTTTTTACACTTCAAAAAGTTATTTTCCAAACTAAATGATTTTGATAAAATTTGACTAAATTTTATGTCAAAAATATTTTTCGGCGCTTTAGAAAAAATCGTTTGTTCTTCTTTTATACAATTTTGTAAAAATATGTAATTGTAAAGTGTGTGCATTGAGCCAAACTTAAAAAACAATAATTAAAAAAAATGTTCACACAATGAATACAACAAGACTAAGAAAGGATTTAAACCTATGTCAACCAGTGTTTGTGATCCTCATTGTCTTCTCGCTCTTATTCACATTCAAGATTTATTTTCCGAGAGTATAATCCCTCTTTCAAACTTCTCAAATCTTGAGTTGATAAATATTTTTACAATTTACTCAAACACCATAACTAATTATTAGTAATTTTATAATCAATTATTTGTTACCCTTAAAATTATCACTAAACCTTGCAACCAACGGAACACACACAAAGTCCCAACAAATCGGATACCAACAAGCAATTATGAGAACCAAATGTGAGGTGTTTACACGACGACTTTATTCATGAATAAACACAATTAAGGTTCAATTCTTAAAAGCTCTAAAAATATAACTTCTTCCAGTTCTAGGAAGTGAAATGATACAATTATTAACTACAAGTTCTTTCAGCCCCTATCCAAATAATACCGGAAAACATCATGATTTGTCTTGTATTACTTATTAACTATTGGTAGAGTTTGTTTTAAATCTGCACATTATAAAATAATATATTAAAAAACTAGTATATATGCAAACTCATATAATTCTCCGTATTTTAATGCATGCTTTTCAAACTCACCTCAAAACTCCATCTATAAAGTGTGGACTAAACCTGATAATAATTGCAGTATTAGTATTCAATCACATTAAAAAACACTCGAATTGCGACCCGTATCTCTCTATAATAAAAATAACAAAAAAAATAAGCAATTTTGTTTGTATTAAGGATTCAGTCAACTTAGAGCAGCTAGCTCTTTCAAAAAAAAAAAAATAAATAAATAACAATAGCTTAATGCTATAAGCATGCACATTTTATTGTAATATTTTTATGTAGACTTTCATAATCATAATAATTTATTCTAATTTGTTATTAAAGCATTTTACGGACAACTTTGTTAATGTAAATTTAGTTATGTATGTATGTTAAATATCGGTTCATAATGGGATGAACATTTAGCTTGCAAACTAGCTTGAGACTTATGGACTCCATTTCTCATAAATGTTTTGATAAGCCCAATAGTTCAAATAACCTCTCAATACAATTAAAATAACTGAAATAGTAGAAAATAGGTCAATATGAAAAGCTTAAGAAAGTATATATGCCAATTTTTAGTTATAGAAATTAATGGGCCATAACTTGTCAAGTTATGGTTTATAACCAGATAAGTTATGGACAAACTTATCAAGTTATGGTTCATAACCAGATAAGTTATAGACAATAACTTGTCAAGTTATGGTTCATAACCAGACAAATTATGGACGAAAACAATAATTTAGCCTATTTATTAACTTATGTAAACTATTGGCCTATTAATTTTAATTCATCACGAGTCTTAGCCTATTTCCCTCTTTTTCCCTTAAAATAAGCACTATAGGCCAATTAAAATATGAGCCTAAAATAAGAAATGTTGTTGCTATATATTTTGGGGTGTGACCATTTTGTGTTGTGCTTAGAATAGTGTGATAGAAGGAGAGAAGGAGAAGAGTTTATTGAATTCCGGGGACGTTCCAAAAGCTCACCAACGTTACTACAAGATAACCTATTTGCAAATGCTTTAATTATCAATTGGTTCAATGTTTACTTTCAACATATTAGCCCTATTAAAGTATTCAACTCCGGAGGTGTTGGAATTTGGTGAATCTCAGAAGATCAAGTTCATATTAGTGATAATTAAGTAAATATTATATGGACAAATAAAGTCAACACAGATTGTAACTTTGCTAATTATTAAGCTTAACAAATAATAATAATAAAAATAATTAAAGAGCAAAATAGAGCTTTGCTAGGTTGTAGCTAGCTATAATTAATTGTGGATATCACATACATGCAAAACTCATGCATTATTATGTATATATGTAGCCAACTAAAATATTCCATGTGATCAAATATAAGTATTCGCGTTGAGATTTTGCGAGCCTCAGAAGATCGATCGAGTTCACAGTGCTAATTATGATAAGCAAATATATACGGACTAATATTTTAGTTTTCTATGTATAATATATTATATATGTATTGCCATCGAATACTCGATGTCCATACAAAGTATTAGAAATCGCAGTTTGCTAAAGTTGCGTTAACTCTAGCCTCTAGGTGCTTTGTACTTTTTAAAAAAAAAAAAAATAGTTTGAAAGTTAAAGAGATTTGAACACGAGATCTTAAAATTAGAGAAGAATTGTAACCATCATATACTTTTACAGCTTTCTCCGCAATATTTAGTTTATAAAAATTAAGAGTCTCAACAATAACTTGATATATATATATATATATATATATATATAGATCTGTGACTCTCATATTACCAATAAAAAACTATCACTAGGATTCGAATTTTAATGGGTGTACGCACATACTCACACACCTAACTACACCTAACTACGTAAAATTCTTTATGAGGATATTCAGCTAGCTACCAATTTGCGAACAGAAAGTTAGTCATGAGATCTCACCATTGGATACGCCAGACAATAATCCCATAGCGGCGAAACATTCAGATTTCAGGGATTAAAATTTTCTATTGTTTGTAATGAGTTTAAAATTATAATTCTCATCAGCCTGTCAAATAAATATGGTTTGGGGCTGTCCTAATTTTGATCTCTCTGAAATGTTAGTTGACGAACGAAGCATGGGTTAAATTCGGTTTATTTCTTAGGGGATTATAGATATAATAAGTTCTTATGTTTGCAGGCCACAAAAGTACTAATTATAATATATATGTACATATAGGTAAGCTTAAGAGTTAGTGGACGTTTGGTTCATGGATTCAGAATCATGATTTAGAACTATTCTCGGTTTACGTGTATTTTTTATGAGAAAAAAATACTATAACGAGTCACAAACCATGATTCGAATCATGACACGAATCCTCATACCAAACTACTTCACCACGTACGGAGTAGTTATAATTATTGGATGCATAATACACATACATAGTACAAACTAAGGGTGTGATTTGAATAATCTCTAAAATCAACTTATCATTAAAAGACAGATGAGTACGTAGAAGAAAACATATTTAACTTACTTATTTGTCGACAAACTATATTATTCAACAACGTCATTAATGGAAAAATCAAGGGAAAAAGAAGCTCGATTAACAGAAATTTAGATGGTGTTAAAATTATTACAATCAGATCATCTAATGCTACATAATACGCACCCTTTTTCTTTTCTGTTTAGAATATATATTTTATGGAACAAAAATTATCTAATATTGTTGTTTAGTTCCGAAATAAATACTACTTTCCTATGTTTATATGCTTATGTTACAAAAGGGACAAGTAAATTTTCATATGAGTGTTCTCTCTCTCTTTTGGCTGAACAGCCTAATAAGGGTGGTAATACATGCCAAGATCGTGCGTCTTTTTCCATGTCTTTGTCCAGGCAAACAGAGATATATATAATTACAGCCTAATAGTTAAAATTTTCTATAGACTAGCTACGTCAGGGGAAATAAGTATATAATTTCGTTTACCAATGTCATAGGGACATCCTAC